GCCGATCCTCTACCTTCTGTGGTCGGGAGGGGCATCCAGCACCGACAGCACGCGACTCAGCCTTCACACAGAACGCATGTTTAAATTTGTTAGATCTCAGTAATGAATTCTGGAGTCCTTTCTTCAGTATTACCAGTACCAACAATGCAGAATATCTTCATTGAAGTTCAGGAAGGTAAACATCATTAAACATAATGTATACAAATCAAGACCTTGTTTGCATAATTTATGTGGAAATAATAGAATGGCACTGTTTGTTAATATAATACCTATAGTCTTTTTGGTTGAGAATATGATAAAGTGATATAATTCATGGAAATGAGGATCCTATCAGCACAATCAGGGGGAATAATCTATAATTTGTCAGCCATAAAGATTAACATCATTTGGCAAAGGTATGAGATTGGGGAACTCTAGTTACTCCGTGAAGGAGGTCAGGACCTCCGGACGGAGTGTTGTGAACGGCTGGTTTTTCATGTTCGCAGTCAAAACACTGGGTTCTCTTTGTGTAATCGGCACGCAATTTTATACGCTGTCTGCAGGCATGCCGTGTTGATGCATGAATGTGTATTTTTGCCGTTGCTGCTTTCGCGGTCAATGTAATATTGCAGATGCACCCCTACAATTACGAGGCGAATTGGAATGGTCCAGAAAAACGAGTTGTTTGGAATAGCAGTGGGGGGGGTGGAACTTCATGCAGACATGCGGAGGGTCGATAAGTGGTACCATAGATGTTCGCAGCCAAAACGCATTGTTCCGTACGTAGCATTTCTGTGTAATTTGGCATGTGGTGTGCCATCATGCCCGTGGTGATGCACGTCTTTTTATTTTTACCCTAGTAGTTTTGATATTGGAGTAAATGCATATTTATGAAACATCCCTATAATGTCGTTGAAATGGTTTTGCCCGGGTATCTGACCTGCGGCAGTAACACTCGCGCGTGCTGGCCGCATGGCCAGTCGCGCTTAATAAGTAACAGGCACGGTAAGACGGTGGGGCTGTCTTTGTTACAAGTGACATGACCATGATAGATAATGATAGTCCGATCTTTATGTGAATGCAAAGATTGTGTGTGTGTAATTAAAATGAACTTCGAACTTGAAGCACAGTATCTTTACACGCCCTAGGAGCAATAATGGATTTGGGTCTTTTTATGCTTTATCATTGTTTGTTTGTTTTGTTTGTTTTTATTTGTTTACCCAGGGTGTACATATCGCCACTAAGGCGTTTTTCAATGTGCCCTGCAGGCATACATAAATAAAATATACAAGAAAATAACAGATATAACAAAATGATAAGTCAACTTATAAGTACAAATTAAAGTCAACTTAGTACAAATAAAAGTAAAAGTACTATATAATGCCGCAACTCAGTAAGGTGGTAATAAAACAAACTTGTCAAACCAAGAGCCACAACTCATAGTAATTAAGGCAATAATGCAAAAACAAATCAAGGAAATAACAAAGGAATATAACAAAGGAATATAACAAAGGAATTGTGACGCGCCCTCATTGTATTAACCGTTGCCTAAGGTCTGGCGTTGACGCTTGGGATTATTTTTGTTGCAAAATATAAAATTTCACGGAGGATTGTCGTCTATGGCTTCTTGTTGTTCTTACAATGTTTGGCATTTTGGGTGGCGTTGATACTCTCACTGTATCTGCCTTTGTCTTCTTCTGAAGTACAGTAATGATAGCTAGACAACATTCTTGGCGATGACGCGGAACTCGTACGATACCTTGGTATGATAAATCTGGTTATTTCTGTAACACTAACCCATAAAAGTAATCCTGTAAACCAGTCGTTTGCCTTTGTAAACAATTTATGAAGCACAATTCGTGAAATATAATACTTCTTCATCTGTTAGTGTAACGTTATATTTTAAAATTTGCAAGTAAGTACGTACTTGGGGTGGGTGGTTGTGTTCACCGCCCAGGCGACGAAACACTCCCTTTGGATCCTCTACAACCCTGGCTTTGCAATAATGTTTCTTTTCTTCCCTGCATCGCCAATACAGGGCATTTGTTGGTGATCTGTGGGTGGTTGTGCCTGACCTGGCTGGGAATGAACTGGGTGTGACTGATGGCTGCAGGCTTAAACACGCCGCTGGTGGTTTCTTGCACCTTGGCTTTGCAGGGTCGTGCACTGCACCGCCAGTGCGTACCAGTTGTTTCACATCTGCAACAAAAATATAACATTTGTTAAATACTTCATATGTATAATATATAGCCACATAAATGTTTCCATGTGGCGTCTGCTGAAAGGGTGTTGGTGTAAACTCGATATTCTGTCCCCACTGTTGTCATCGGATACAGACTCCGGAAGATGGTGAACATCCTGGCTTCAAGGTAGGATGGCCATAGGATTCCTTTCGGCAGCCATCCCTGTCCCTGGGCTTCCTCGCTTCATCTACAGCATACCTAGGCAGACCACAGCGTTGAGGAAGGGATGGAAAGAAGGAAAGAGCAGATGGGGGAGGAGGAGCAGGAAAGCAGTTGGAGGAAGGTTCTTCAACCATCTCAAAAGTCTGAGTGAGAACATCCACGAGAGAAAGGATCAAGGTCATCATTTGCATAATTATATAATTATATCATATAATTATATAAAGCCCAGCTGTACCATCCCCGCCTTAGGGTCTCGTATGGGATCCCCTTGAAAAAGCTGCAAACCGATCTCACAGACTGGTGCTATTGCAGACACGATGAGTGGTCCTTAGGGGCTGGCGACCCTCCACCATAGAGTGGAGGTAGTCAACCAGGAACCAAAAAAACATCATCGTCCTGTAAAATACAATACATTTATTAATTAGGGAATACAGTATCTGGGAAGGGTACTATGACTGGTCGTGGCTTGGCTGTTATAGTGTTAAGGTATTTTACCAGGCATCTGACAGGGGTGTCTGGTTGACTGGTTCCGATTAAAAGTTAGGTTTTTGACGGACGGGATAGGGTCGGAGATTAGTTGTTCCAGTGACGGCAGGGGTGAAGTACTGTATTACATGTTATCTTTAACATCTGATTTAACAGTTCCAGTTGTCATCCTAAGTTTCATTATGAGTTCCTTGCAGCAGATATAGAATTTCAAAGTTATAATTTGCAGATGAAAATGTTGACCAGGTGTGTTACACAACATGGTTATACCTGCTATACAGATACAGACAACCTTGAGCGCTAAACCTAACACATCAAATTTACCAAAATCAATTATACATAACAAACAACATATAAAAATATACAATAAAAAGCCTGGAGGTATAAAATCTCAGATTTTACTGTCATTAGAAACTAAAATTATCATTTTGGACATTTCAATGAGAACAAGTGTCACATCTGATCCACAAATCTATGATCATATGACGGACGTTATAACTATGTTTAATAACTGAAAAAAACAATCAGCAGAAATCGCAACATTTTTCAAAGGAGGTTCACGTATCTCTCGTATCTATATCTCGCACACACAGCTCAGTCAAAATTATTTTTTTCTAAGGAATATGTTAAAATAATTCCACAAAACAATGTATTCTAGCAATTACAAACTGTAATACTCTCAAAAGGTCGAAAATCCTACCACAGAGATAATATTTAGCGCAGGAAAAAAGTCCATTCTGAAACAGGCAGAATAGCGACGTTCTCACGGGCGGGAGAGCCCACTTCGAGTAGGGGGGAAACAATTATTTACAATTATAGATAAAACTCTGTCAAAAATATACATATGCAAGCTGCATTTTAACAAAGCTAATCACTATGTTAAAGACGACAAACAGGAGTATGATTGCATTCTAACGTATCAACTATTACAAAGAAATATTTTGAAGAAAATGTTACCCTCTGCAAAAAAATGGACTCAGTATAGGGCTATTGGACGCCAGTTCAAACCCTCCCCGGGGCCGAAAAACACGTGAAATGGGTCAAATTCAGAGCGCTCAAACACATTTATAATCAACACAAAATGATTATATGTTTGTACCATGAGTTGAATAAAGTCTTGGTCTCAATATTTATCGAAGTTTCTGGTAAATACCTTCAAGTATAAGCGAGAAATTTCACCTCGGGCGGTGCGCGATTTGCCGGCGGCGCCCCGTTTGGGGTCCGCCCGAAGGCACATTTTTGAAAGGCCGGTAAGCGCCCGGGGCCTCTGTGCGCGTAGCCGTGTGCAATACGGGAAAAAACTAGCTACCAATTTGTAGCCGACAATACGAGCTTCAACATGATACTAACTATTTAGCTGTACGACTTCGTGGGCGAAAAATATTCCGATTTGAAACTTTCAAAACGCGTTTTCTCGGTCATGTCCCCCGTGAAAAAATTTTTATAGCCAACATTTCCAAAAAATTCAGAAAATTGCCGTTATTTTGGTACCAAGATTCGCATATTTCGAGCACGTGTTAGACGCACAATGTGGGGCTACTTTTTGCACTATCCGCTAGAATTTCGCTGGGACCAAGATGGCGGCGGACGACAAAGCCGTGCTCGAGCGATCTCATTTCATCGCAAAAATGTCGCCATCCGACGTGGAAAACTTCATCACGACCCGCCAAAAGCCAGGTAAGGTATTTTTCTAAGTCTTTTGCTAGTTTTTGGGGTATATTTGTGGACTTTTACTCGGATTAAGCGGTATAAATTCTCGATGGAAATGTGTATCGTAACTTCACATGTCAACCGTTACTTAGCGTTAGCTTGAGTAAATTTAACAGTCGGATGCTTGCATAAATATTGAACTTACCTTTTTTTGTCGGCTGGAAATATTTTAAACAGGTTGTTGACTATGTATTTATCACAATTCTGCCGCTGTAGATGCATTTTTAGGCTCGTTAACCCGACGTTCTGAACGGTCGTATCTGCCCATATGTTTGAATGGGCAGGAAAGGGGGAGGGGGGCGGCAGCACATACTACAGTACATGTTTTTCGCCATCTGTTTTTTTTTTTTTTCGTTTATCTAATATCTGCCCACTTATCATTTCCACTTTATTGCAACATTCATGAAAACTCCGATTCACATTTTTTTAAAGATCATAGAATTTTAATTGCTGGAATGACAATTTTTCTAGTAATTTTTTTTTTTGCTGATCTAAATTTAAATGTCTGCCTATTTATTATTTCCAGTTAATTTGTATTATAACATTCAAGAAAACTCAGATTACTATATTTTTAAGACATTTTAATTATGAATCTGATTTTTATTTTTTTCTTTCTTTTCCAGAAGACTGCAGTGCTGTGATGTGCTCCACGCTCCTTGTCCTAGAAGATGGCTTACGCAACCAGGGTATGAGTGTTGCTGAGACCCTCCCAGAACTTGTCAGTGCAATTGACAGTTCCGTCCAGCTGCCATCACCATGTAGAAACATTCTGCACAAGATTTGGAAAAAAGTGGAGGGGTGCAAGGAAGAGGGACTGGACAACCTTCTGAAAATGCCGGTCAGTCAGATATACCAAGTGAAGGGGAAGGTGGACCCCAACAAGGTGGGGGAAGAATGTGAGAAGCACGGAGTAACCCTACATGTGTTGAAGAATGGGTTCGAGACTGCCCAAGACAGAGTTCCGCTGACCAAAATGATGGCAGCGGAAATTGAAACCTACCGAGAGAAGACAGGAAAGTCCTTCGATGAAGTAAAGGGGTGGCTGGAACGGGTGCTTGGACAAGACCAGTTAAAGAACGTGAACTCCAGAAGCCTGCAGTTGTCTTTGAAAGGTCTGAAGAAGAAGGTGACGGACTTAAGGAGGCGGAGTTCTGGGAAGGAAAAGCTGAGGCAGTTGTGTGAAGAGCCATACATCCCACCAACGCCTCAGGCTCAAGTCCAACCTCAAGTCGATGAACCTGGACCGTCAAGCCACTCAAGGTCTTCACTTGGCAAGTGGGAGGCCGCACTGCAGGACAGAAAGCGCCTGGAGGGGGAGGTGAAACAAAAAGAGCTGGATACAAAAGAACTGCTTGCAAAACAGTCAGCTCTTGAACAGACTGTAGCAAGAATGAAGCGGAAAAGCGACCAAGATGAGAAACTTATGCGAAAGAAGCAAAGACTGTTGGAGGAAAGAGAAACAAAAGTGAAGGAGAAGGAGTCGCAGGTCAAGATGAAGAATGTGAAACAAAAGTATAGAAGGAAAGACAACAAAATAAGCCAACTAACTGAAGACAAGGCAGACCTGAGTAGCAAATGCAGTAACCTACAAACAAAGGTGACAATTCTTTTGAAAGACAAAGAACGTCAACGCAACAGGTTGAAGTATTACAGAATGGAGAAGTCGAAGATTCAAAAAGAGCTGAAAGAACTGAGAAAGAAAGATAAAGCAAGAGAGAAAGAGATGTCAAGAATACAAGCACAAGTTGAAGATCTTCAAGCTCAACTGGAAGAGAAGGAGCACACCATCAAGTTGCGTGACGGACCATACACCAGCAGCCCGTTCACAGCAGATGTCAGGGCGTGCTATATGGAGTTGGTGGCCCTAGAAGTTAGCGCACGCAACATGTCCAAAGTGGTCCACTCAGTTTTAACCACACTTGGAAAGTTTAATGTAGAGCTGAAGGACTTTCCCGGTGAAACATTTAGTCAGCTGGTTAGGCTTGAAGCCGATCTTGTTTCTTCGATTCAAGCAGCACAAGCAGTGTCAGAAGCCACCAATGCGACTCTACAGAGTGATTCTACCAGTAGAGACGGTGTGAAATTCACTGGCTTTCAGGCAAACACGGCCAAAGGAAGGACGGAAACAATTGGGTGCCTTCAGGTTCCAAGTGGAGAATCGGCTGATCAACTGGAGGCCTTTAAGTTCCTGCTGCACACACACACACACTGACAGACAAGCTAACAATGCTTTACTCTTTGGGGGTGAAGTCCATACAGAAATTTCAATAACCTGTAAGAAAAGGAGTCCACCGTGAATAGTTTCATCAGGTTGGTAAGACACTGAGTAAAGAGAGTCTTTTTACACAACCAAGTCTTTTATTCAGCTGACGATTGGGAATGCATCTATAGCAGCGACGCCTGTGCTGCAGTGCAATGTGAACCAGTCAGAATGGACCTATACCATCAGGCCTCGAAATTAACTTTTTGGCGACGCCTCAGGGGGGAGCCTAATGGCACAAATTGTCCCGAACATAGATTTCAATTGTCCCGAACTGAAGATGGACTGTCCCAGCCTGCTTTTCAGGAAATAAGTTGATGACAAAAATAAGAAAACAACAACTGAATTAATTTTGTAGAACTTGAAGTCCACTTTATTAGTAAATGTAGGGAAATACATGATAATATCATGGGCATGGCACCGTCCCTGATATTTGGAATCCCTGATTGGTCAAATTTAAATGTTTGTCAGAGTATTATATATTTATAGGCTGCTAGCAGTCTGCAGCAGGATGGATGGATCGTGTTCCCAAATGACGTGGATGGTCTTAGAATTTTCCAATTGCCCCAAAATTCCCAAATGACGTGGATGGTCTTAGAATTTTCCAATTGCCCCAAAATTGTCCCGAAACGTAATTTGAATTGTCCCAAGCTGAAAATTCAGTGTCATTTGACACTGGGACAATGTTAATTTCGAGCCCTGTACCATTATAACGTCACAGTTTGTTTACCTGTTCTAAAGAACATTCTAGAACGGTCAGTTAAAGAATAAAGATCATTTCAAAGTTTTCAAAGTAATGTATGTCTGATTTTTTGCTGCGTCTAGTTGTGTTGACACAGCATTACATGCCGCATGGGTGATTTAGTTGTGACATTAGACGAAACTAGTACTGTATCAAAAGCCTTATATTAGGCTAACGCTACACAAACACACACCGCGCTACGCACCCCTGTACAATATAAACGTCGATTGACCAGCATTCATTGCGATAAACTGTGACGTAATAATGGTATAGGTCCATTGCCCTGAGGAAGGTGACAGACAGTCAACGAAACGTCGGCTGAATAAAAGACTAAACTCTTGGTTGTGTAAAAAGAGTCTCTTTACTCATTGGAGAACCTGTTAAGAAGATGTTTTTTACCTGGAAGCTTGGCAAGAATGTTCTCCTGGATAAACTTCTTGGCTGGAGCATAGTGGAAGTTGTAGAATGGCAGGATGATGCGCAGGTCATTCACCGAAATCTGAAAAATCAAAATGGAGTCAAGGTCACTCAAGGTCACAGCTGCTGAAGGTCATTCAGACTTTCCATAGACTTTCCATAGACTTTGATGCAGTAAAAATGGCAAAACCTAATAAATTATGAAAACAAGCACAAATTAAAGGTGCAAAGGGTGTGACAAAGCACTGAATACACCTTTTAAAAGTAAAATATCTTTCATCAAACTTAAAAAGACTATACTGATGTATTTAATCACTTCTCAGACATGTTTAAGTAAAATTTAACATCACAAATTGCCTCTGGAGGAAACTTGCAAAGAAAGTTTCCATGCGGATATTCAAGGTTTATTTAAGACTTTGTTCAAATATCAACAAAATACATTTGACGACAAATAAATTAGCATAGATCAGTCCACAGACCAACTCACCCTCCTATATTCATTCTGCAGGGTTTTTTGAACCTGATACCGGTAGGTTTTAGAAACTTGACTGGAGTATTCCTTAAAGTAATCTGTCTGGTTTGTCTGGAAGGTAGATAAATAAACGGCATCAACACAAAAGCAAAAGCAAGTACGGGGAGTGCCACTGTTGAGAGCTTAACTTGCAATTATTTGCAAATATTACCCTGTTTTTAACTTTTCAAAGTGGCAACAGGGCTTACAAGGGTTCTGTAGGGTCTGTACACAAGTGCAACTTTGCATGGCAACCCGAAAACAAGACCATAGTAGTAGTCTAGCAGAAAATTCTGAAATTCATAACCCCCTGAGACACTTTTTTCCCTGCTTTTCGGAGGACAAACTTGAAGTTTCCCTTCTGTTACAGCCTTACTCTAAAGCCAAATGCTATCTCTTTCTTAAAAAAATATTTATAATGGGTCAAGGATTCTCCCCAAAAAGAAACACCTTACACTGGTTGAAAGACAGTGTTGGATGCTATACAAATAAACCTATACCCCTTAGCTCCCAACAAGTTCAAGTTGGCATTTGTGTCAATATTTCCTGAGTTTTTAAGACTTCCTTATCTAACTTCCATCTTTCAATGTAACAGGATTAGAAAAATGGGAAGAAATGCAAACCCTGCCCTATAGCAACAATAAGCCGCCACATACTGACAGACTTGTAAAATGCATCACAAACTCACACATTCAGTGAAAATGCTAACAATCTGTATCTGTTTCAACTGTAAGGCCATGTTGATTTGATTATATGGATGACATCCTCTGGGAACTCCAAAACTGATGCGCGCGTGCGAATAAAAAAAAGTTTTGCAAAAAAAAAAGTTTTCATTTTGAAATGTACGCGGTCATGAGGGTTGAACAAATGGGACAGAATATGGTTTGGCGAATAATCTAGTCTTCAAGTTCATTTCTTTACAATTTCGTCTTTTTTCGTTTGATTTTGGCATTCTACGACATTGGTATAGTTTTTACTTATTTTTTTGTAACTTACGGTATATTTTTGGTCATTTTGCAACTGTTTTGTACGATTTACAGTATGGTTGAAAACTTTTTTTTTTTTGGAAACTTTTTGCCGAAAATTCATGCGCGAGCAGATGTCATCCATATAATCAAATCAACATGGCCTAATTGATGTAGTAACTAAGATTTTTACCATATAGATGAAAATTTTGGCAGTATTTTGCTGAAAACCTTAAGTGGGGGTACGGACGCTACAGGTAGGGGGTACGGACGCTACAGGGGTACGGACGCTACATTTTGATGTTCATGGTGCTATACTAGACAGAGTGTTTATGACAGCAATGGTTTACATGGTGTTTTGGTATGTGGCAATAGAGACCTTCTAGCCATCATTATCATTAACCTGCAGGATTAACTTGGTACAGGAATCAAGGGGGGGTACGGACGCTACAGATTTTTTTGGAAAATGACATCCTGGGCTTTGATCTCTAACAGTACGTCACAAGAATGACGGAATGATTCTGTTCTATTTCTGTACCTTCACACACATCATACCTTAATTTCAAAAGCCAAATGAACACCTATAGAAGCATATTTTTAAGAGTTACACACTCAGAAATATCCATATAAAATTAGATTGAAAATTGGTAATATGTGGGTAAAAGTGGAATATAGCCTTGATTGAACCAAAAGAGGGATATTACATTCAAATAAAAGTTAAAGATCACAAGTAGACCTATGACTGCATGTAGAAAGCAAATAGTTTTTAATTAGGAAGTACAAAATGTCCTTTCAAATCTAATGCTTAGAATTAGTAAAAATTCAATGGTCCCCGGTAAGGCCACACCAAGTAAATTTTATGGATGACGTCCGCGCGCGCATTGATTTTGGCCCGTTCCTGAAAAAAAAAACAAGAAAGTCCGCTTCCTGTAAACTATGACCAAAGAGTCACGACAGTGCAGCAAATCGTCAGATTGACGTGAAACTCGTAACGCGAAAACAGGACAGGACGACAACTGCTGTTCCACCTGATTTATTGCTGCTTTGATGATGAATAAAAGACTTCTTGCTTGTTACACTGTGTCACCTCATTCAATTTGTGCCCTAACATTTGTCGTCTCTTAGTATATTTCTAATCTAGGCATCTTGTTTTTTAGGGCCCTTCTTGTTTTTTTTTCGCCCTCTCGCATTAGATTTAGGGTCTCCAAAGGACGTCATCCATAAAATTTACTTGGTGTGGCCTAACGCTCAAAAACATCCAATTTTGGACCACGTTTTGGTCAATATTTTTCCCAAATGTTAACCAATTTTCAAAATTCTTTTTTTGTTGTGTTCCATCTTGCACCAGCTCTTTGGAAATAAAAGTCTAAAACAGTAATAAGTTATGTAGATTTTGCTATCCTCTGGTAACATGCTGGAAAAAAATGGGTACACCTAATTGTGAAATAGCCGCAGATAAAAGCTGCTTGCTTAATGTCAGAGAAATTTTGATAAATCTTTCATGGACATGAAGATCGATGGAGACATTCCTCAACTATTAATACCGATTAATAAGCGTTGTATTTCGGATAAATGCCTGTACCACGCCGGTTTTCCCGGCGCCGGAACGGAACAAATTTTGACCCGTTACGCCTCCATCCGTTCCGCGCAGTAGAAAATGTCAAGATTTAAGGGGGGCCTTTAAGCAAATAGGGTATCGGAAATTTGATATAAATGGTCCTATATACATTTAGACGTTGTTAGGGGTGAATAATTCGTTGTCCTTGGTTGAAGAAACCTCAAATAACAGATTTTTTCAAATGACGAAACACGAAGAACAAGATGGCGTCGTCAAGGCGGCCATGTGCTATGTGCTCCATCTTGGGAATGTTTGGTGCTTTTAAGTTCTAGCAAGGACATGTCCTTGGTTCTAGAAAGAATTTGTCGAAAATACTGGCAGAAAAAGCCGTAACTAAGTACTCGACGCAACCAGAGGAAGCCTTGGGCATTTAGAAAGCCATTTTAGTTTGTCAAAATGTAACAACAAAGAGCAGGTTGTCAGGCAGAATTGTCGCTATAAGGAAAACTTACCTGAGAGCAGGAGATGACTCGTTGACTGCCTTTGGCGAGGTATCGCCAGCTCAAATTTCCACAGAGCAGCCACGATGAACAGCCACGCTGCTATTGGTCAGGACACTGGATTGCTACTCATATGCTGCAGCAATACCTCAGTTTCGGTAGTATGGGGAGGGCTACCTGCGTCTTTCCCTCGATTTACCTGCAAAAACGTCAACTTTTACGTCTATATTCACTGCATTTGTGTTGCTCTTACCTCTGGGGACAAGGAAAAGCACAGTTCAGATCATATTTGAGGGGATTTAAGCTCTGAGGACCAGGTAACACTACATATACATGTAGGTAACAGTTAATATCAAGGAGAGTTGATTTTAACAATTTAAGCCTCCTTGATTAATATATTTGCATATATAACTTTTAGCCTTTTAGCTCTGGGGACCAGATAATGCACCTTATAAATAGTATAGATTAAACTCCTTGTATTAAACTAGGACTTCCTAGAACCTCCTTGTATTAAAGCTGATATTTGTATGGCTTCTCATCATCATCATCTCCGTTACTGCCTAGCCCTACCATGTAGGATTATTGGCAGCCGTTACGCATTGATTAGTTACAATTGTGATCCAGTACATAAAAACAAGGTAAAACAAGGATAAATGAGAAGGGAACATAAGACAACTGATTTTGTGTGTGCTAAAGACGGGACAAGTGCATTAGTGCGTTAGTAATATTTACATATATACAAGACATGATGGGGTGGCTCAATGCAGCAGGGTCCTCGCCAGTTCAGATTTGAACTGGGCAAGAGACCCCGCCTCCGCCGCACCAGGCTCAAGTTCATTCCATTCCCTGATGGTGCGGGGAAAGAACGAGAGCCTGTAGAAGTTGGTTCTGCTCGCGATGGCCTGCAATGTTTGAGTGTGATTGATGCGGCGGGAGCATCGAGCCACCGGGACAATCCTGGTTGAGTGTGGGACGGAGACAGCGTTATGTATGATCTTATAAAGCATGACCTGTACCTATGGGGACCAAATTTATTAACAGTAACGGTTAACGTTAATATTTGGTTACCAATATTTGTGTGTCACCGTGTGTCTTATAAGTCTTGGGATAAGACACCGTACAGGTAATAATTGTGCGGCTCTTAGGTTTGGGGACCAGGTAAGGCACCATACAGGTAATAAATGTGTGGCTCTTAGGTCTGGAGACCAGGTAAGATACCGTACAGGTAATAATTGCATGGCTCTTAGGTCTGGGGACCAGGTAAGGTACCGTACAGGTAAAAATTGCGTGGCTCTTAGGTCTAGAGACCAGGTAAGGCACTGTACATGTAATAATTGCGCGGCTCTTAGGTCTCGGGACCAGGAAAGGTACCGTACAGGTAAAAATTGCGCGGCTCTTGGATTTAAGGACCAGGTAAGGTACCGTACAGGTAAAAATTGCGCGGCTCTTAGGTCTAGAGACCAGGTAAGGCACTGTACAGGTAATAATTGCGCGGCTCTTAGGTCTGGGGATCAGGTAAGGTACCGTACAGGTAAAATTGCGCGGCTCTTAGGTTTAAGGACCAGGTAAGGTACCGTACAGGTAAAATTGCGCGGCTCTTAGGTCTGGAAATCAGGTAAGGTACCGTACAGGTTATAATTGCGCGGCTCTTAGGTCTAGAGACCAGGTAAGGTACCGTACAGGTTATAATTGCGCGGCTCTTAGGTCTGGGAATCAGGTAAGGTACCGTACAGGTAAAAATTGCACAGCTCTTAGGTCTGGGGATCAGGTAAGGTACCGTACAGGTAATAATCGCGCAGCTCTTAGGTCTAGAGACCAGGTAAGGCACCGTACAGGTTAATATATGCGTGGCTCTTAGGTCTGAGGACCAGGTAAGGCACCGTACAGGTAAGTAATATATGCACGGCTCTTAGATTTTGGGACCAGGTAAGGCACTGTACAGGTTATAATTGCGCGGCTCTTAAGTCTTGGGACCAGGTAAGGCACTGTACATGTAATGTATGTGTGGCTCTTAGATCTGGGGACCAGAGCTCTTAGATTGTAATGGTTCATAGCTCTTGAGACCTGGTAAGACCATACACTTCATATACGTTTGGTCTTTTGTACCTAATTTTTTGGTTATTGAACATCTCTGTATATATACTGCTGGCCTAGATTATTTCTCTTTTTTCTCTAGTTGCATTTGCCAAAAAGGAGAAACTGATCACACAGCAGGAGCTGGACATGTCTATGCATCACATTCTGGCATTCTTGGAAGT